TGGGTTGACCCAAGGGCCTTTGGGGGCTGGGTTGGTTGATGCAAGGGCTTTGGGGTTGGTTTGGGTTTGGTTGGTCCTCAAGGGCTTCTGGGGTTGGGTTGACCTGAGGGCCCTTTGGGGACTGGGTTGACCCCCAAGGGCCTTTAGGGACTGGGTTGGTTGATGCAAGGGCTTTGGTGTTGGGTTGGTTTGGTCCCCAAGGGCCTTTGGGGTTGGGTTGACCTGAGGGCCCTTTGGGGGCTGAGTTGACTCAAAGGCTTGGGGAATGAGCTGGAGGATCCCCCCCGTGTGATGTTGAGGTGCGATTGAGGGGCAAACTGAGTGTGGGGAGCCCCTCTCCAGTACCTGCAGGTGATCCCCGAGGGAGAGGACATCTATGACCGCTGCCTGACCCAGGCTGAAATCCAGGGGAACATCAACAGAGCGAATGGTGAGCAGGGCTGGGGGGGCTCCAGCGCTCCTAGGGGAGGCTGCGGTACCCCAGGCTGTGGGGCAGACCCTGCTGGGGGTGCTGGGGGCAGCAGGAGGGAGCTGTGTGCTCAGGGCAGCTCCAAAGTGGGGCCGTGTGTGCATTTCCAAGGAGAAAATTATGGGTGCACAGGGTTCAACTGTCCCAGAATTGGGGTGGGCAGGGGCCTCTGGAGATCACCCAGGACCAGGCGGGTCCCTGAAGCCTGGGGGATGATTTTCCCGATGATTTCTTGCTGCAATGGCCTCTCCCGCAGTTCACGGAGCTCTGGAGGAGGTGGACGATGCCCTGGAGAGCCAGGACGCTGTGGCGCTGTACCGGGCACTGCAGGACCCTGTCCTGGCCCTGTGCCACCTCCAGCGCGACAACCTCGACCTCTACATGGAGCAGCTCAGCACGGACCGCGAGCAGAAGGCGCTGGTAGGGGCTGGTGGGAGCGGGGAACCCACGCTTGGGTGTCCCCAGGACTGGGGAGGTCCCCAGGAGGAGCTGGGGTCTGCGAGTGGTCTTGAGTGCGGCCACTCCATCACCGCAAGCAGGACCTGGAGAGCCCAGAATCCCTCTTTTTCGGCAGGATTTGGGCTACGTGGAGCTGCTGGAGCAGGAGGAGGTGGCGGCGGGGATCCTCGCAGCCAACAAGAAGGGCGAGGAGGAGCGAGACAGTGAGTGGCTGTGGGAGCTGGTGGCTGTGTTGGGTGTCCTGGTGGAGCTGGATCACCCCCTGCATCGCCCCCGTTGCCAGCTCAGCCCCATTTCTCCCAGTGCTGCGAGCCATCAGCTGCATCAACACTGCCATCCGCCGTGGGATGCCGGCCGAAACGCTGCGAGCCCTGCAGGACCCCGCGGCGCAGCTCCCCGACGTGTGCCCCTTCGCTGCCTCCCTTTA